CTACATGTTTATAAATAACTTAAACGTCAAATACGACAACCGAATATGTATTACGAAATCGACGCAACACTTAACTTTATATAATTCCGATTCGACTTTAACAGCTTTTGACCCTCATTTTTGGGAGCATTTTTACCCCACTTAGAGATCAATACAGAAAATACTATCTAAACGAAAGATGTAGTATGATATGCGATGAAACTACTGGTTTCAAATCACCTCATTTGGATTATCCATCTATTTTATACGAATATTACAAAACAGCAGATCAATCCTAAATACWTTGCAAACATCCCCGAAAACACACTGTTTCGGGCCACTTAGATTTATAACTGAATTTTCGACCCTACATGAAAGTTGTAGTATGCAATAAGGGCTTTCTAAYTGCAAAATATGAACTTATTCCGACTTACGGTTTGTAAGTTATACATTGCCAAAGTACAGACCTGCATAGTCGGTAAAATCCGATTCCGMAATTCYCGACTAACTTTTATAATCCAACTTTCATGATTCGCTAYATTTACGTGYTATAAACATGYTTCAACATACTAAACCGTTAAACAAGTCCAATGGTCACTACCCTAAGCTTAATCATGCAATTTTATCCTTTTCGACATTATATCGAACAATTGGTGTACCGTTAAACATATACACCAAATCTAACCATAATGAAACCATAATCTACCCTTTCAATTTCTACATCAATTTAATCAATCATATCATTCTAAACATGAAATATATCATACTTATAACAATATCTATCCGTAAACTTATACATAACATAATTTATAAACCGGTCTAAAAAATGTTAACGTAAACACCCTAATAAAAGTGAATAAAATCTATACCTTTATGAAGGGTTCGAAGAGTGGATTCCGAATATATAATCGTTACTTCGATTGCTTCAACGGTTTGCAAGAAATCTTAGAGAGAAGAAAAAGTTAGAGAGAGAGATGAGAGGCGGTGAAGATGTTAACTCGCGATGCATGGTTTGTTTTTTTTTTTTTTACTCATATATATATATATATTATAATATTATAATTATAATAAGTTTAGTAATTTAGCGGTTTTAACCCCTCAACAATTATCGATCGTCATTTAAATACGGTATAATTCGGGTAAGTTAACGAGAATGTGATTTTAAAATTCGGGTCTTACAGGTACGATGCGTACCATACCCGTCCCCGTCCCTATCCCTGTCCCCGGTTTGAGACAAACGGGGATCCCCGTCCCTATCCCGGTTTAGCGAGGAATCCCTGTTCCCGACCGAGTTCCCCGACGGGTTGGGGCCCATTCCCATGCCTACCTAAAATTTTAATGGGTGAGCTTGATTGGAGTTCAAGTCCGAGTCCGAGTTCGAGCTTGATTTGAGTTGCAGTTTGAGCTTGTTTCGAGCTCGAGTTCGAGTTCGAGCTTGATTTGATTTTGAGTTTGAGAAATAGTTATCAATTTCAAGTCGAGCTTTGATTTTTACTACTCGTGAATTTTTTATTCGAATTCGAGCTTGGAAATTGGGTTTCGAGTTCGAGTCGAATATAGTGATACTCGAGCTCGACTTGCATTATTTACACCCCTAATTCCAACTATAGATCAATTTAAGATTGGGACATCCGATCATAATAACTTAGAATACTTTGTGGGTTCTTGAGAATCAAGATTGATTGACCATGTTAATAGACCAATCAGATTCATCCATTTGGACGAATATAATCAAATTTGTGATTTGGTCTCACGTTTTATTTAAGTTATAGATCTCACGTTTTATTTAAGTTATAGATCTGATGGTGATTAAGACCCGAAACCTTAACCTAATAAGTTTCTTTGTTAAGCAAGGTTCGAATATTAATACATAGTGTCAAATCCGATAAATGACGTATATCAGATATGGCCATTACAAGACAAATGTTAAAAAAAATTCTTTTAATTGCTTAACCGGATGCTAGTTGTATTATTTTTACAAATCCAGCGGTTGATACCAACAAAACATATTGCAAGACTTTTACATATGACATTTTTTAGTTTGATCCTATAAACTTAAATTCTATAAAATATATTACGACGCTTAGACAATTTAGGCATCGTATAAATCAATTTTGTCGTAACGAAATTTACTTTTATAAAAGAAAAACAAACTAAAAGAGTAATATCAACTCTTATTTCATCGCAAAATAAATGTTTGTAATTCTTTATACTTTTCGAATAACCAATTGATATAATAGAGAGAAATATTATTCACCTAAGAAAGTGTAAACTTAGAGGCTGTTTATCAAACACTTACCGGATAAGCTCTTACCCGCATGATCACCACTCTCACTTGCCTTGTGGAGTAACATTTCTTGCCATCAAAATAGATTGATAATAAACATTTATAACCCAGTAAACGCTTACCAAGGATGAGTCATCACCCTCACTTATTGGGTAAGACTCTCGATTCTTGTCTTCTTTCTTACCAAGTTAGACTCTCGGTCCTTGTTATGTTCACCGGTAAGGTAATATAGCAATAAACACTTATCAGGTAAGTGTTCAACAAAAAAAGACCCTTACTTTTAAAACATATAATTTAGACAAAGAATAGAAACAAAATCCAAAAAACACAGTAATAAAAAGAAAGAGAAAAAACCCTTCTATTCATTAATTAGATACCTTGCAAAATACAAATTTATGTTCCCTTGTTGCAGAGGGTGTTGCAAGATGTACAAATGCCAAGGAGCAAAAAAGCCATAACCAAAAGCTGCACCTATTTCTTTATCCGTCTGTCCATTTTGTTTGCATGGACACCATTAACATATTACTTATATGCATTCATTTCATTACATACTTATTATATACATACACCATATATAAGCATACATATCATCATTCATTCTACTTTCCGGTACATAAATTCGGTCCTTTACCGCTTCTCGTGTTTAAAATCGCCGTCTCATCAACAACGAACACCTTTTCCAATCAACCAGTCGTTGTAAAAATTCCATCACCTGTATGCATACAATTAACACACGTAAGATATATTGCTCAAAAACCTGAAACTATCGATCATCTTCTGCTACTTACTATCTCAAAAAGCGATAAATTTGCCACTCAACCAGTGTTTGCAAGAATAACCCATTAACGCTATAACAAAATCAGGTTCATTGGACACCAAAAAGACTGTTTTACGAGACTAAAAGTTTATAGAAACAAACAGAAACGAATTGTGCATCTTATGAACAAATGTTACAACCCATTTATAGAACCTTTTTGGAAATCTTTATCGTGTTTTTAGAACAATACTCCTAAAATACATTATTGAAAAGTGTCACATGAACATATTCCTTTTTATAGGATACTTTTCTTTATATGAAGTTCTATTTCAAAAATATGTCATAAAAGTCTTGATGAAAACTCAAAGCTATCCAACACCACTTTTACATTGGGACGCAAAATTGTTCGACTGTATGAACCCAAAAACAGTCGATTAGAACATTTAGACATTTTAGACATCCTACAAACCTAAACCCCATTAGGTGCAATAGAGAATGGTATTTTGCTTTTGGTTAACAAATATTCTTGGAAAATAAAAAGTAATAAAAGAAGGAACATAATGTTTTTGAGTACTTGCCTCAGATGGTTCCTGCAAAGAATAAGATGCACTTGTATCCTTGGGAATTTTGGACACAAGAATGCCAAAGCCTTGTCCCCTTTTTCTTAGTACCTAAGTTTATACCAAAAGCAAATATCGTTTAGTCTTCCATTGGAAAAATAAAAACAAAGGGAAACAACCAAAAACCCATTCACATAAATTGTTTTTTTCTGGCAATTTCGTTTTCCATGTTTCCAAGTATTTTCAAGATAATAACTTTAATTATGCCGAGAGCCGACCTTAAAAGCATCTTCGTCCGTTCGATCGTCACCGATGTAAATAGGGAACACGTCGGTACAGTTGGCGTAACCTAAACACATAGATATACCATCAATGATCGTTCGTTGACACTTGATAACTGGATTTACCGGCTATTTTTATGATGATTTCTTTAAAGAAAACGGATATTTAGCGAAATTTGAAGCCAAAAATGTCTAATATCATTCAAATAAAACAATTAAAGGTGCATTTAGAATCATTTGTAGTTTTTTTTATCGATCTTTAAACTATTTACAGAATAAAGGAAAAGATGAAATGATGACGTACCCAGTGACTCCAACAAGAATTCGAGAGCCTTGCCTTTGTCCCATTTAATGGTGGGACGGATCTCCAATACCTAGAAATCAGCAAGCATGGTGAGATTACTGTCTTTCAATATATATATATATATATATATATATATATGATAAAATAATATAAAAATTATTTGAAAAAGACAAATCTAACCTTCCTTCCTTGAGTTAATCTAAGCTTTGGGTAGTCTTTGACCACTGATCTCACTTGGGCAGCCAGTTCACTCCATTTCTTTTCATCAACACATCGGAAATGCACAGACAAACAAAATTTATTGTTTTCCACTTTTGCCCCTGGAGTTGATTTTGTCTTCTCCATCAGTAACCCATAAACCTGAAACCAAATAAGATTTTTCAGACGTTTAAAAGAAAACATAAAACCCAAAAGCTTTCTTGTTCAAGATCGTATTTTTAGAAAGAATCCTTTTGGCAAATGGGTTTTTGGTTCAAAACAAAATGTATATATTTAAGTCCATCTTCAACCAATGACTAGAGAGTTGAAAATGTTATAATATATAAGAAGCTGAAATGCTACAGATATTGTACCAAACTGCTTCTGGATGGTATAAATAGCACATTTTAAAAGACAGATGATCACTTTTTTAACTCAAAAAAGAAGCAAAAAAAAACCAGAAAGGAGTGATGTGCAAACCTCATCTATCATGGGTAGAAATTCACTTGCAGGTTGGCAAAGAACACTTGGGGGACTCTGATTAAAACCAAATAATTTGATGTTAACTAAGAATATGATCATGGAAGTAAACCCCAAAGCCAAAAGATAAATCACTTTTACAGAGATTGAACAGTTAGCAATATAATGTACGAGCCATTATTGCATTATTTTTGCTCTGCAAATAGGATTTACCAATGAAATAGAAGTCGATTTCATTATATACTGCGAGAATGACTCACTTTCTTGTACTTGGAGCCCTTCGACGGACCTTTGATGTCCATCCCATGGCTTCCGGCGTAATACAGCTCTGCTAATTTCACAAAGTTATACACCTTATCTCTGCATCTTCCACTGACGATGGCCGTCGGAAAGCATCCGGCGAGTTTTCTAACGGTGGCTCGCATCTATGGCAATGTAAAAAGGAAATTGTAAGAGAAAAAGTAACGATTTTTACGTGAATCTGGAGGGGAGTCGGACGATTACCGCATCGGACATGTAAGCACGATCAGGGTCGTCGACGATTGGGGAAAGTGTGCCATCGTAGTCGAGGAACATCACTATTTGCTTCCCTTTTGAAGCATTGGTAATTTCGTCGAACACGTTCAAGGCAGAAGGATGTCGATCCTGTTCATTCACACATGCATTTTTTAGATCCCAACCACATCGAGTTTTTGAATTCAAGGAAGAATATACTAACCATCCAACTGGTTTGATCTTGAGTGGATTTCCGATGAGACGTCGGAGAAGAAGCTCTCATCGATTCCACCCAAGCGTTAATTCTCGTCCCACCGTTGATTTCCAGGTCGTGAAGTAGCTTCTTCTTCGATATGGTGATATACCCCCCTGGCATCAAAGGAGGTTTCTTTACCTCCGTCGTGAACAACGCCTTTGGCACAACCGCCATCGCCATATCCATACCGGATTTCGGTTCTCCGACCACCACTTTTTGTTTCGTCATTTTCTTAAATTCTCAAACCAATCAACCTCTGATTCCCACTCTGTTCTATAAGAAAACCAAATCTGGTTTCGATTAAAACCCAATGGAGGAACTGAATCAAAGAATAACAACACAGAAATCACAAGAGAGATTCTGGAAGAGATTGTGGAAGAGATTGAGAGTGGGTCTCTGTTCGGATGTGAAGGATACCAAGGGTAGTTTGGTTCGCTTTATAGTTGCAACCGGACACTAACGGACGAAATGAAGGGTGGACCCACATGATTTTATTTTATTGTATTTTAATTTATTTTATTTTATTCACTAAATTATACCTTCAATTCAAAGATGAAGATTGGGGCCCACTTGCTTCTCTACATTAACCGATATTCTTAACAGGGTTCCACCATATGCCTGGTGGATTCCACCGCATGGAAACACGTCTCACCGTCGTATCATAACCTCGCCGCCGTCTTAGCCGTCAACCTATTAACCAACCTGCTTCTTCCCGAGCCCTCTGAAGACAGCTGGCCAACCTCATTACACGTGGCACATATTCTCATGGGTCCCCTTAACCATAAACCAACACACATCTTCTACACACTCTCTCCTACCCCCCTTTACAAAAATAAAACAAAATTTAATTAATTATCTTTTATTAAAGGGAAAGGTCTCATTTTCGATATATTATTTTAAAGATTTTAATTTTTGATTCAGAGATCGTTTATCAAACATTTATTCGGGTAAGTAAACAATAAGTCATTTTATCTTACCTGATGAATATGATAAGGATAAAAAATCTTATCCGATAAGAGCGAGACAAAGACCAAGAGTCTTACCCGTTAAGTGAGGGTGACAACTCTTACCATGATAAGCGTTTACCGGACAAATTGTTGCATACGATACCGTTTTTGTGTACTAAAATATTATCCGATAAGCAAATAATAGTGTTAAATTTATCGGTAAACGCTTACCAAATAAGTGTTTGATAGACGGCCCTTTAATTAGTGATGTTATAAGCTTTTTTTTTTCTGGAAAACTATTAATTTTTTTAATTTTAAATGATTAAGTTTTAAAATATTTTTTAATAAACAAATAATTAATCTTTTAAAAATTGGTTATTTACATTCTTCTAACAAATAAGAAAGACTACTGGTAATTGGTTAGAACGTACATATTGCATTAAAATATTGTAAAAGAAGAATAATCGCAAGAGAAAAATCAGATAAAAAGATAAAGATGGATGATAGAGGCCAACAATGACAATGGTTGGTATATACAACAGACGACGTTGGTGAGCGATATCTTTAGTTGCGAGGGGTTTGAATGACGTAGGAATTGAAAATATAATTAATTTATAATTAATAAATTACAATATCATAAATTAAGTATTTATTTTTTTTTAAGTTTGATATTCATAATGATATACACTTTGTTTCAAATTTTTAACATGATTTTCAAAATTCAATCATGAGAATATGTAATACAATATATTTGCTATATTATTAATCATTTACAACTTATTATTACACATATGGAACTTTTTGATACTTTGAACTTTAAAAAAACTAATATATATATATATATATGTATATATATATATATGTATATATATATATATGTATGTATAGGAGCCTATTTAAGAGAGAACTGAGTTGTTTGTGGTAACTGTGAGAACCAATATTAACCACAAATCAATAGATAAATTAGAAAATTTATAAATTTGGTAATTTTAAATTAAAATCTTAATGCAAGGATATTTTTGGTATTTTAAAACTCTTCTCTCTCCTCTCTTCTCTCTGCGGCCTCCGGCCACCGTCCTCCGGTGATACCACTGTGATACCTAAAAATATTGACTCTGTTAAACAAAAGATACATTGTGATACCTAATCATATATAAGATGTATAGTGATACCACTGTGTTACATCTTCGATCGACCACACAAGCGACATCAATGTGATACCCAAGCACATATATGATGCATTGTGATACCATTGTAGTATCACCGGAGGACGGTGGCCGGAGAGAGGAGGGAGGAAAGTTTTAAAATACCAAAAATATCCTTGCATTAATATTTTAATTCAAAATTGCCAAAATTATAAATTTTCTAATTTATCAATTGATTTGTGGTTAATATTGGTTCTCACAGTTACCACAAACTAATTAATTCTCATTTGATTAGGCCCCTATATGTATATATGTATATATGTAACCGTTATATATAATTGATATACAAATACAAGATAAACGTAGAGCAATTACTCTATAAAATTTTCTTAAAACCATACAAATTTAAAAAATAAAATCGAGAAGGACGACATAAAGATGCTTTTGTGTCGCATCCCGTAGCTACACTATTAGTTGACATACCATTGACATGAATCAATTATATATGTAAAGTGTTGAAGATAATACACTCTTTACAACGTATTGCATACCATTTTAGTGCGAATGATAATGCAAGCAACGGTGACGGTTTTCATGCCCTAAACAACCGTCATAGCGATTAACGAAATGTAGAGAAATATCTTATTGTTATAACATGATTTAACAAGTCTTCTTAAAACACTTAATACTAAAACCACATCCAATTATTTACACTTATTATTAAAACTATAAAAATAATTACTTTTAATATACTCTTTAATTTAATTTGTATAGATTTCAAAATTCTGTTGTATCCTTCATATTATTTACAAATAAAATACATGTATTTCAATTACAAAAAAATATATTTAGCGGGTGTTTGGGATTGCTTATAGATTACACTTATTGACTTATTTCGATATGACACCGGTAATAAGCATTTTTGAATGTTTTGATAAACAACCTATACCGGTGTCAAACCGGTAATAAGAAGTTTTTAAAGAAGTTAAACTCTTCTGACATATAATAAGTTAATAAGTGTTTTTGTAGAAAAACATAAATTGTTTCAAATAAGCAATCCCAAACACCCCTTTAATTTAAAATTACTTATAAAATTATGAAAACAAATTGCGCTTCCTGGTTGAAGCCGTCCATTGCCTTTCTAGGTGAAACCAACCCGACTACAAGGTGGTTGAGCAGCAGGTCGAAAGGTTAACTTATCTGAAAATCTTCGAATCTATGCTTATTTTCAACTCCTCGAAGCAATTCTAGAATATAGAGCATGCCACATGAGAATTTGTTATGAAAACACAAAAATTACATATGTAATAAGATATTATGCAATTCTTTTTTCAAACAATTTGTGTTTAATATATAATGAGAGACAACTGATAGCACATATTATGTTGAAATTTTTAATTCGGTTTTTATGTATATCTGATTTTATGTTAAATCAGTTTAAAGTCAAATACAGTGACTTAACAAAAGATATGACATCTCTCACCTTCTTATCAATATATTAAATGTCAGTTCTCTCTCATTATATAAAGTTAAAAATTTGATTTTATAGCTGCTATTATTGGCTTGTGTTAGTCTTTGATAAATAATTAAGAGTTCCGTCTAAGAGTAATCTAAGCTCTCGTTTGGTTTTATGATTGGATTTTTAGGGATTCGAAAATGAATTTCATTCGAATTCATTTTTAGTTTGATAGATTTCATGAATTAGAAATCGCGGGATTTCATTGAAATCTCATAAATATAGATATAGTTGGTATTTCCTGGGATTTTGTACAATTTGTATGTAATAATTTTTAATAATATGTTAAGACATTAGTTTTATAATAAAAAAAATAACTATTATTTTATAACTTTTTGTAATTTATTTTTGTAAATTATTTTTAAAGAATGAATTTAATTCTATTCTAAATCATATTAACTAAACACATTAAAGATTTTAAATCAATTCACAAAATTCAAATTCCTTAAACGTCATTCAATCAAATTAAACGTCCAAAAGAATATATGGTGTGAGGTCGGTACAGAATGGCAGGAACACTTGTTCCGGGTCTAACAAAAATAGGGAACCCGGTTTTTTATCAGTAGTATTTATTTAAAAACATATAACAAAGTTATATGATTAAAAAATTCAACTACCATGAATTATTATGTTTTCGAGACAAAAAGTTCATCTATTTATTTTAGTAAAATTGATCAAAATAGTCATTCCCCAGACATAAATTGGTCTCATATTCATTCATCTGGCTGATTTATCCAAATATCACTACCTCTACAAGTCTCATGTCCGTCATTTGCATACCTAGCTAAAAGACAAAAAAAAAAATCAAATTATAGACATGGTCGTTGCAATTGTGGGCTTGGGTCAAATCTCGTAATTTTCTTTGTCTTTTAGCTGAGTTCGCAAGTGGCAGAAGTGGAACTTGTAGACGTAGTAATATTCGATTAAATCATAGAAAAGAATGATTAGAAGAACAATTTGTATGAGATAAATGATTATTTTGGTCGATCTCCATTTATTTTCTCTTCTACTATCATTTCAAAATGTACAATCAATTGAAAATCTCATATACTTTTTCTAAGTGAAAACAATGAACTTCTTTTCAATCATAATCCGAGATATAATGAACGAATTGTCTCAAATTCTTGAAAGAATTTGAAGTTGTGATACATGTAAATGTTCGAGTCTTATATCATATATATGAGCAGGTTTAAATGATAAGTTAAACATTTTACTAGAAGAAGATAAGTTCCAATATCATATATGATTACATGTATGATATACAAGTTTAATCATATATCATTAAATACATGTTGCGTTGATAACACATAGACGCTTAATCAAATATGATTAAACACATCCAAAAAGAGTGTAATCATATATGATATTGAAACTTTTCGCCTTCTCATAAAATATTTAACTTCTCACACGATCCTTCCCCCCCCCCCTCTCTTTCTCTCTCTCTATATATATATATATATACGTATACATATATATGGGCCTAATCAAATGAGAACTAATTAGTTTGTGGTAACTGTGAGAACCAATATTGACCACAAATCAATWGATAAATTAGGAAATTTATAATTTTGGCAATTTTGAATTAAAATTTTAATGCAAGGATATTTTTGGTATTTTAAAACTTTCCTCCCTCCTCTCTTCTCTCTCCGGCCACCGTCCGCCGGTGATACTACAATGGTATCACAATGCATCATATATGTGCTTGGGTATCACATTGATGTCGTTTGTGTGGTCGATCGAAGATGTAACACAGTGGTATC